CACAATTTAATATTTTTTTACAGCGATTGATAGCAGGTAATAAAACTGCAGAGAGCTAAACCCCAGGACTGGGGATGTAGCTCAGTGGTAGAATGCTTGCCTAGCAGAAGACTCTGTCCAATCCCCAGCAAAGGAAGGGAGGGAATGAGGGAGGAAGGAAGGAAAGGAGGGAAGGAGGGGAAGATTAGGAAAGAATGCAAGCAAAACCTGGATAAGAGAGGATTACTATATAAAGGAAGAGCCTTTGGCCAAGACTAATTGGAAGAGGGGAGAGGTCAAGAACAGCTTCCTGTAAGTATGCATAGCTTATCTAAACTTGATAGAAGGAACTGCCTTAAAGGAATCATAAAAGCATAAACACAAAGGATAGGAAATCATAAGCAGCTAGTGCGGATGGAGTATAAGGTATGAGCCCATAGAGGCTGCAGGCCAGCACATGGAAGATTTTGTGTGCCATAGCAGAAAACTTAGAATTGTTCCTATAATGTCATGAAGTTCTTGAAGGATTTTAAGAATGTAAGGGACATATCTGCATTTTAGGGTGATCACTCTGACAATGTTTGGCATACTAATTTAAGGGAGATTCAACTAAAAACAAGATCAGTTGAATAATTTCATCCTATACAACAAAGGCTTACACGTCAGTCATGAGTGGTTGGGATCTCAAGACAGGGATAATAAATAGTGGATAAAGTTGACAGAACTTTATGAATGCCAAGGTGTTGAGAATAGAGTGAGGGTGACTGAGAAAGAAAAGACAGGACGGGTTGGAATAGATGTGATGCTTAAAGTAGGCTAACCAATGACGCAGATCCCCAGTTTAGCTTTGCATTTCAAATTGAAAAGAAATGTATTCATCTCTTTTGTCTAGAATGCTCAGAGTAGGCAGGGACCATCTGGGGGTGGGTAGGCAGTCTCAGGAACCTTTGAATTGTAGCTTTGGTGTCTTGGCCACTAGAACTCTGGAGCTTTCGTACAGGTTCTAGGAATGGAAACACAACGAAATTTCTAATATAAGAGTGATCACTTCCCCAAAAGTTAGTCCAGACCACACAACAGAAATCTTGTTTTCAGATTGAGAAATTAGAACAGAGATGTTCCAATTTTCATGCCTACCCTTGTGTACTTCACTCTTTCACTCTTTTCTTTGGCTTTGAGCAAGAAAAATCCTGGTCTAAAACAGAGAGAGACCTACATTTATCTGCATTCAAAACAGTTTTACAATTGCTACACCGACCACAGCACAGCAGAGCAACTGCCAGAAAGTTGAGCTGATCCATCTGTTCCATACAAGCCTAACAAATTGTCCTGTCCTCCAGGAATGCCATAAAACAAACAGCCCACAACAACTGTAATTCATATATTTAATTTTTTTTTTGCTTGCTTGCAAAAGAATTAAATTGATGTTGTTTTTCCATCATACTGCAATTAACAAGTTAGTCTCAGCACTATCTTTCTTACAATTAAAAACAAAATAAAGCCAGGCGCAGTGGTGAACACCTGTAATCCCAGCAACTCTGAAGCCTGAAGCAGGAGGATTACAAGTTTGAAACCACCCTCAGCAATTTAGCAAGACCTTTGGGAGACCCTGTCTCAAAGTAAAAACTAAAGAGGACTGGGAATGTAGCTCGGTGGTAAAGTGCCTCTGGACTAAGTCCCTCATATTAAAAAATATGGGGGCACACACCTGTAATCCCAATGGCTCCAGAGGCTGAGACAGGAGGATTGTGAGTTCAAAGCCAGCCTCAGCAATGGCAAAGTGCAAAGCAACTTAATGAGACCCTGTCCCTAAATAAAACATAAATTAGGGCTGGGGATATGGCTCAGTGGTCAAGTTCCCCTGGGTTCAATGCCCGGTACCCACCCCCCAAAATACACACACACACACACACACACACACCACATGTATATAGAAAACCAAGAAGCAAACAAGCATCTGGGATCCAAAGTGTGTCCCAAACAAATTGAAACAAAAAGAAAAATCCTAAAAATAAAACAAAACAAAAAATATTGCAAGGCCGTAACTGAAGTGTGAGTGAAAACCTCATCAGAAGTGTGAGTGAAAACCTCATATTTAAAATGATTAATTATAAGATTGTCTTACAATTTAATTTATGCTTTCCAAAATGCTAGATGCTTACTGTATGTTATCTGTTCTTTTTTTTTTTCCCCCATTAAATATTGGGAAGGGATTTTGGGGAGAAGAAAGAAAAGCAGACAGAATCAGGCCTACTTGAATGTACTAACCACTGTGGTTGAGACTTGCCCCATACACTAAAGCTTGAAGGAGGGAGTCACCATTCTAATTGAGAAAACCGGTGAGCCTACATACAAAAGATCTATAGGTGTTTTTCAGGCAAAAATAGAGACATTTTGATACTGAAAGCTCAGTCTTTGTCCAATGTTAATCCAATAACAAGGACATGATTTTTGAGAAAAAGAAAAAAGAAGTTTTATATCTTTGCTAACAAAAGAGAACACACAATGGACTCCTGTCCCAGAGGCTGTGATTTTAACTGTCAGGGGAAACAGTGGGCTTTTAAAGAGGGATTACAAAGGTTACACTCCAGTTGTGCCCTGTCAGGAGTCATAATTCTTTTGTAATCTTGAGAGAGAGCCATTTCTTGAACCACTGGTGCCAGTCCTAAAGGCTGGATTCCTGCATTCCTGAAATCCTTGAGCTGAAGGACAGATAACTGCCTAGGCTGGAAAGGTTAATCTTGCTTCCCCCATGGTGAGGTAGGGGGAAAAGCAGAAGAGAAAGGAAAAAAGAAATGTCAGTTTTAAAATTATATTCACAGCATGAAGTGGACCCCTGTTATAATTTCAGAAGACTGAATGATCAAACCCCAAAACACACCAGAGGACATTGTTCAGAATAAAGAAACATGAGGTTTGAAAACTAGGTGAAAGCAAAGAGATGTGAGGGCAGGGGTCAAAGGTAAGCTGTGATCCAGATTGCACTGGACCCCACATATACCATTGGTAGGTGCCTCCTGAACATCATTTCATGCTAAGAAATATTCTGAAAAGTATAGTAAGTGCATTTAGTTGAAAACTTATCCTTAAACAAAACATCAAAACAGATAGTTTGTCTTGAATTTCTGCGTTCTTTTCAATAGTAGCTGCAAGTTATAGATAAGTGGAGAGGGAGAGCTGCATGTTTGGGGGAAGAGGACAAGAAGAAGGAAAGGGACTCATCTCTAGAAATCTTGGGTTCAAATCCAAGTTCTGAAATCCATCTTGGGGAAGGGCATTCACCTTTTAGAATCTAAAAGATTTAGCAGGGCATGGTGATGCAAACTTATAATTCCAGCAACTCTGGAGACTGAGGAAGGAGGATCACAAGTTTGAGGACCCTCAGCAACATAGGGAGACCCTATTTCAAAAATAAAATATAAGCTGATGGGCTGGGGATATGGCTCAAGCAGTAACACGCTTGGATGTGGCTCAAGCAGTAACACGCTTGCCTGGCATGCGCGGGGCGCTGGGTTCGATCCTCAGCACCACATAAAAATAAAATAAAAAAAGATGTTAAAAAAAAAATATATATATATATATATATATATGCTGGGTACAGTGGCACACTCCTGTAATCTCAGTGGCTCTGGAGGCTGTGGCAGGATGATTTGGAGTTCAAAGCCAGCCTCAGCAATTTAGAGAGGCCCTAAGCAATTTAGCAAGATCCTATCTTTAAATAAAATAGAAAAAAGGACTAGGAATGTGGCTCAGTGGTTAAGCGCCCCTGGGTTCAATCCCTAATAACAAAAAAAAAAAAAAAGATGCAAATGATTTTTGGCCAAAGAAGATATAAATCCCTTTTAGACCCATTTCTCATTGGAACCGGTTTAATGTCTCATTGGTTATTAAAATCTTTGACATGTGTTTTTGTCTGTATATATGAAAATCATGGTTTTACTTGATTTTTAAAAATTTATACTTTAACACTTACAGTACTCATTTCTTTGTATTTTTATCATCTCTAGCACAGTGTAAAGGATAGAGTATGTTTTAAATCAATGCTTATTGAATGAAGAGTTGTAAAACATTCTAACCAAAGACAAAAACAAGAGATGCATATAAAATAACCCAGAAGCATTATTGAAAGCACATCCAGCAACCTGTCTGCCCATTTCAAAGTCTTCCACGATTCCTTTTCAAATAAAATGGTGCAGAAACCGTAATGCACAATGCCTGGATTCACCCCCAGTTCAAAAAAAACGGTACAAAGAAATATTATGGATGAGGGGTATAGCTCAGTGGCAAAGAGTACCCAGCATGAATGAGGCCCTGGGTTTCATCACCAGCACTGCAGGGAAAAAAAAGAAGAAAAGAAAAAAAAATGTTATGGGTGAGAGCAAAGAAAAAAAAAAAAAACCCTTCTCAGTCTTGAGTGTCATATTAAGAAAGGTGTAAAAAAAAAAAAGGTGTAATGAGAAGTAACTATTCATTTGGGACTTAAAAGAATGAATAGGAAGGAGGAGTGGAGGAAAAGTAGGGAATGTGGAGGGGAATAGAGTAAATAACATTCCATGTATGCATGTCTTTGTTAAAAAGAACACCACCTCTATGTATAACTATAATGCTCTAATAAAAATTTAAACAATAGAGAAAGAAAAACAAACAAAATAGAATAAATTGGGTTGTTTTTTTTTTTTTCAGTAATGGGTTTTAAATCAAGGTGTTTTTTTGCTTTGTTTTGTTTTTTTTAACCACTGAGTTACACCTCCAGCCCTTTTTATTTTTTGAGAAAGGGTTTCACTAAATTACCTAGGAATTTGTGATCCTCCTGCCTCAGCCTCCTGAGTTGCTGGAATTAGTCATGAGCTGCCACACTTAGTTGAATAGGGTTTGTGGAGAGATGGAGAAAAAGGACTTAGATCTAAGTGGAAAAATGAAGTGAGCATACAGAAACACAACTCATTTTCATGAAATGGGAATGAGGTAGTTGTGTTAGTCAGCGTTTTCACTGCTGTGACTAAAGGACCTGACCAGCACAATAATAGAGGAGGAGGTTTATTTGAGGGTGCACAGTTTCAGAGTAGTCCATAGAAATCCAGTTCCAGGGCTGGGGATGTGGTTCAAGCGGTAGCGCGCTGGCCTGGCATCCACGCCGCCCGGGGTTCGATCCTCAGCACCACATACAAATAAAGATGTTGTGTCTGCCGAAAACTAAAAAAATAAATAAATATTAAAAAATTCTCTCTCTCTCTCTTTTTCTCTCTCTCTCTTAAAAAAAGAAGAAAGAAATCTAGTTCCATTCCTCAGGGCTTGAGGTGAGACTGAACATCACGATGGGAGAGGGTGGTGGAGGGAAGCAGCTCATCCCATGGTGATCAGAAAACAGGGAGTTTTTACTCTCCAGATACAAAAAATACACCCCAAAGCCATACCCCCAAAGTCTTACCTCCTCCAGCCATACCCTACCACTTCAGTTACCAGTCAGTTAATCCCTGTCAGGGGATTTATTTACTGATTGGGTTAAAACTCTTATAACCCAATAATTTCTCCTCTGAACCTTCTTGATTGTCTCACATGTGAGCTTTTAGGGGACACCTCACATCCAAACCATAACAGTATTCTGATACACCCTGGTATATGAAGTAGAATAAAGGAGATTGGGACCAAAATATAGAGGTCATTTTGAGGACCAACCCTAGGCTGAGTCTGGTCATCATTCAAAGATAGTGGGGAGCTGTTCGGGTTTTGAGCTGGAAAAGAGCTGGTGCATTGGCAGAGGCAGGAGCATGGTGAGTTCAAAACCAGCCTCATCGATTTAGCAAGATGCTAAGCAACTCAGTGAGACCCTGTCCCTAAATAAAATACAAAATAGGGCTGGGGGTGTGGCTCATAGTAACAAGATTAACTGGACAGCAGTATGTAGGGCAGAGTGGAGTGAAAAGAAATATACAGCAGCCAGGGAGCTGGAAATATGAAAATAGAGTTTATGCCCGATGTGGTACTATGGGTCTGTAATTTCAGCTACTCCAGAGACTGAGGCAGGAGTCTTGCTTGAGCCAAGGTTTGGAGGCCAGCCTATGCAACACAGCAAGACTCCATGAAGTAGAAGGGGGTGGGGGACGAAGATGAAGATGAAGACAAAGACAAAGAAGGAGAGACACAGATATGAGAATCGTCACAATAGTGTAATATTGAAATGTGAGGGCATATTGAGAAAATGTTTTAAGTATATTATTAGTTACAGTGTTCATTTCTCTCCTCCACTCCTCCTCTCCCCCTAGGACTGTGAGCTCTTCAGGGGAGGAACTATGTATGTCTCATTCCTATTTGTTTTCTCAGTGCTGGGCATAGTGCCTGACACAAGCTCAGTAAATATCTGTTGAGGAAAAAGGATATGCAGAGAAGAGAGAAAACATTTTTCTCAGAGAGGTGGTAAGAGCAAAATGCATGATAGTACTGAAAAAGTTTTTATATAATGGAGAGAGAATGGATGGACTCTTCATTGGATAGCTTTAAATCTTTTCAGAAAAGTATCGGATGAGCTTCAGAGCATCACATGATTGAGGAGGGGTTAAAGGCTTAGAGTGAAACAATTTAGACAGCTGCAGCCAGAAATGTGCTTGGGAGACTCCCATATGCTTGCATGTCTTTTTTTTAGTGCTGTTCTATGTATCTGGAATGCTCCCTCAGCCCTTTTCTTCCTGCCTCTTGTCTTTTATTTAGTCTGCTCATCTGTCAAAGCCTGATTCAAATACCAATTTTTCTGGGCCAGTCTCCCTGATATTATTTCAAGTAAATCATTTCTTGTTTTTTTCTTTTTTCTATGTTTATATTTCTCTTCTTGTTAAGCCCGCTTGATTATAAGTTACTTGGAAGAGGGTTTTACTCATCTGACTTCCTCCTGACCCAAAGGAAGATCTCCATGTTTGCTGCCGGTTAAGTCAAACAGGTTTACGGATAGGATTGCTGAATGGCAGAGAGGACAAAGATGAAATTATGTGGCTGAAGTTTTGATGGATTAGATTAGCATGGTTTCTGTAACTAACAGGAGTGATAAACTAAGAAAATTCAGGGAAAGTTTACAAAAGTAGAGGCAGACAACAAGTCTCAAGGTTCTTTTGTTTGTTTGTTTTAGTTTGTTTCCTAGTTGGAGAAAATCAAAACTTGCTCCTCCTAACTGGGAAAGCAAAAGCATGATGCTCATTTGAATTTTATGAAAGAAGAAACATATTTTTCCTACCTATTCTTACAAAACTGCAATAAAATTAAAAAAAGGAAAGAAAATCAAACAATGAAAGCCATAGTGTCAGACTTGAATTATGACCATTTACCTCCAGTCTCCTCACCAAATTCTCAAATTTTATAAGAATAAAATAGATTGATTTTTCAGTTTTACTCTTTCTCCTTCATTTGTAAACTTTACGAAAGAATAGTTAATGAGCAGTGAAATGAATGCAAGAGGGAAAAAAGAAAGAGGGAGAGAGGTAACTATAATATGTAAGAACAAGATGAATTTCAAAGACCCGTGTTCAGGGCTGGGGTTGTGGCTCAGTGGTAGAGTGCTCGCCCAGCATGCTTGAAGCACTGAGTTTGATCCTTAGCACCACCTAAACATAAAATAAAGATGTCGTGTCCTCTTAAAACTAAAAAATAAATACTAAAAAAAAAATGGGAATAATAACTACTTGGGGAAAAAAATAACTACTTGGAAAAACCGTGGTAAGAACTAAACTAGATCGCACCTAAATGCTCTTAAGACAAAGAGTGTAGTGTATTTTGAAGATATCACATGCAAGTGGTAGAAAATGCAACAGACAGAAAAAAGTTTACAGGGCAAGGGTAAATCTCTCTATTCTTACTCTCTGTCCCCTCAGTTCTCCTCAGAGTCAACTACTGATACCATTTATTGTATACTATTCCAGAAAAATTCTATGCTGAGAGTACACAGAACTGTGCACTTCTTTCTGTAACTTAGATATGTGAACTTCAGTAATTAAATGCTACACAGATATATTATTCATGGAAGGAGAAGCGAGGCCTAAACAAAATTGTACTGCTATTGAGAACCAAGGCATCTTGGACTATTAGAATCAGCCCCAAGCTTGGCCACTTAGTGCCACTGGGAGTATTCCCTTTCTTCATCTTGACATCAGCAGGGGAGGAACACTGAGAGCCACATTGCTTGACTCTGCCTCCATCTTTCCCACAGGTGATCACTTACTCCAGTCGTCATGTCTACAATAACTTAACTGAGGAACAGAAGGGCCGAGTGGCATTTGCTTCCAATTTCCTGGCAGGAGATGCCTCCCTGAAGATCGAGCCTCTAAAACCCAGTGATGAGGGCAGGTATACCTGCAAGGTGAAGAATTCAGGGCGTTATGTGTGGAGCCACGTCATCTTAAAAGTCTTAGGTAAGGCAGAGTGCCAAGGTAAATGTCATATCTTAATAAGATTTCTGTGAGAGATAGGCAAATAAGTCATGGTGGTACAAAACTTTGTGTTCAGCACTTTGTATTATACACTTAGAGGTCACCTAGTCCAGCTCCCTGCAAAGAAGCATTTATGTTCTGTATTTCAGCCATATTTTCCATGATAGCCCATTACAAAATTTAAATAGCCTCTAGTGTTTGTATTTTTTTGCGGGGGTGCGGGGGTAGTGCTGGGGATGTTACCCAGGGCCTTGCAGGCACTCGACCACTGAGCAACATCTCCAGCTCCCTTACAGTTATCTTAAATCTCTCAGAGATGATTCAAATTTATTGTTGTTGCTATTATTATTATTTTGGTACTGGGCATTGAACCCAGGGGCATCTTACCACTGAGCTACATCCCCAGCCCTTTTTAATTTTTTAATTTTGGGACAGGGTCTCACCAAGTTTCTGAGGATGGTTTTGAACTTGCAATCTTCCTGACTCAGCCTCCCAAGTTACTGGGATTACCATGGCACCCACCTTATTTTTTGATAGCAAAACCTACTAAGTTCTACTTAATTAGCTCCAATTTAATGATTTTCTATCTCTATTTCAGTTTCAATAAAATCACACTTAACATTCCTAAAATTTCCTAAAAAAACAATTCCTCTTCTTTGAAAAGTATGTAGTTGTTTCTGAGGTAGCCCCTAAAAATTACAACAGCACCACTAGTAGCAGCTTAAACTGTGTGTGTGGCAGAGGGTGAATAAAGTGGGTTGAAATCACAGGGTAATATAACCCATGCCTAGTTGAATCCCAACTCAAAGGTCAACCATAAGGTATGGCTGGAGAAACAACTCAATTGAACATAGTTTTTCCTTTGATGTGGTGTTTAGAGAATCTTTGAATCATTACACCTTTATTCTCTTTTTTGGGCAGTGAGACCATCCAAGCCCAAGTGTGAGTTGGAAGGAGACCTGACAGAAGGAAGTGATCTGACTCTGCAATGTGAGTCATCCTCTGGCACAAAGCCCATTGTGTATTACTGGCAGCGAATCCCGGAGAAAGAGGGAGAGGATGAACATTTGCCTCCCAAATCCAGGATTGGTAAGTCATCTTTCTACCAGTCTACTGTGCCAATAAGATAGAACTGTGTCCATGAATTCTAAATCTGCTTTGTCAGCAACTCACTATATGACCTTGAGGACATTGTGGAACCTCTTGAAAATGGAATTTTTTTTTATCCATAAAGTAGGACAGAAAATCTTTCTTCAAATGCCATATAAAAGTGGTAAAAGAGATTAGGAAAAAATATTACAGAAATCTATCATCTAATTGTCTTGTTTAGTATTCCATAAAGATCCACAATCTATTTTTTTTTTTTTTTTTGGTACCAGGAATTGAACTCAGGGGCACTTGACCACTGAGCCACATCCCCAGCCCTATTTTGTATTTTATTTAGAGGCAGGGGCTTACTGAGTTGCTAGGCACCTCAGCATTGCTGAGGCTGGCTTTGAACTCAAGATCCTCCCGCCTCAGCCTCCCAAGCCAGTGGGATTACAGGGATGCACCACTGTACCTGGCAATATCTACAATCTTTTCTAACTTTTGAAGATGTACTACAATTTAAAAGAATATTTACCTGTTTTCCCATGCTAAAAAATGAATCTTTTCTATTCATTCTTATCAAACTACAATACAGAATCTTAGGTCAACAATGTCCTATATAGTCAAAAATAAATAAAGATTCTGTCACTAAGGTGGCTTAATGTCATTCTTTCTCCTTGTATAGACTACAACAACCCTGGCAGAGTTCTGTTGCAGAATCTCACCATGTCTTCTTCTGGGCTCTACCAGTGCACAGCAGGCAATGAGGCTGGGAAGGAAAGCTGTGTGGTGCGAGTGACTGTACAGTGTAAGTATCCAAAGGATTTTTTTGTTTTATTTTTGCATTGTGGTTCAATATAAGACATTTTAATCATGAGCAAGAGTAGGGTCAAGGTCAAAGTCTTTATTTCCAGAAGGATATGGCAATTACCAAAATAAATTTGGCAGTTGCAGAGACCATTCAACAATTGCGTCTGACTCTATTTGCCAGCTTGTAAATTAACCTGCCCTCTAATGAAATGTAGGCTGGGATATAGCTTAGTGGTAGAGCACTTGCCTAGCATGCATGAGGCCTTGTGTTCAATCAATCCCCAGCACCAGAAAAAAAAAAAAATACTTCAGCCAGGTGCAGTGGCACACTCTTGTAATCCTAGCAGCTCTTGAGGCTGAGGCAGGAAGATCACAAGTTCAAGACCAGCCTCAGAATCTTAGTGAGGCCTTATACAACTTAATGAGAACCTGTCTTAAAATAAAAAATAAAAAGGGCTGAGGATGGAGCTCAGAGTGTTGGGTAAAGCACCTCTGGGTTCAATCCCAGTACCCACCCACCCCCACCCAAAAAAAGACTACTTACTTAAATGAGGAAGCTAGTAAAATGTTTAAAGAGCATTTAAGAAGGGATAGAAACAATTTAACAAAGAAAGTGAAGATTGCTGAGTTAGGCATTGGACTGGTTAATATTCTTCAAAATCACAGACCATAATTTCTGGAGTCACTTGTTTAACTGGTACCAGCAATCATTTCTGTCTTTATTGGACAGAGATTTACCAATTGCCCCTCTACCTAGAAGTACATTATCAATCATTGTACTTCTTATGTCTGTTTTCAAGTTTCAGGTTATTTTTTCTCACAGATTTAACAGGCACTTCACAGAAAAAGAAATACTGTTAACTGTGTTTATATCAATAAAATAAGAGGACCTCTCCAAAACCCCACACTTTTTATTTTGTATATTTACTTTGGGGCTGGGATTCACTCCAGGAGCACTTTACCATTATGCTACATTCCTAGCCTTTTTATTTTTTTAAATTTTTTTTTAGTTGTCAATGGGTCTTATATATTTTTATATATATATATATATATATATATATTTTTTTTTTTTTTTTTTTTTTTTTACATTTATATATTTATATGTGGTGCTGAGAATCGGACCCAGTACCTCACACATGCTAGGTAAGTGCTGTGCAACTGAGCCACAATCCCAGCCCAAGCCTTTTTATTTTTTGAGACAGGGTCTCATTAGTTTGCTTAGGACCTAAGGCTGGTCTCGGACTTGTGATCTTCCTGTCTCAGCTTCCCCAGCTGTTTCCCCAGCTGCTGGGTTTACCATGCCCAACTTACTCTTTTTAAAATTTTAAGCCTGGGCTGGGGATGTGGCTCAAGCGGTAGCGCACTCGCCTGGCATGCGTTCGGCCCGGGTTCGATCCTCAGCACCACATACAAACAAAGATGTTGTGTCCGCCGAAAACTAAAAAAAATAAATAAATATTAAAATTCTCTCTCTCTCTCTCTCTCTCTCTCCCTCCCTCCCTCTCTCTTTAAAAAAAAAATAAATTAAAAAAAAATAAAATAAAAATTTAAGCCCTCATCTTAGTAAATTTAAAAATAAATGTAGTGCCAATTATAAGAAAGATTATGAGGAAATAGGAGTTTTTACATTTTTTATCAGAGTGTAATCTAATAGCACCATTTAGTTTAATCTACAGACTTTGGGGTAGTAAAAATAGTGAAGTAAAATATATCAAATACATAAATCCTAAATGTATATTTTGATAGACTTTCAAAAGTAAATATACCTATATAACCAGTATCATAATTATGGACCCATCACAGTTTCTTCTACCATTCCATTACCCAGATTACTAACTTTATCCATTATTAATACTTTATTCTAAAATTACTTTAATAGGAATACTTTTACTTTACTTTAAAGAAATGAAATTATTCCATTTATGTTCAGCTTCTTTTTTTTTTTTTTTTTTGGCGAGGGGCGGGGGGGGGGCAAGTACCAGGGATTGAAGTCAGGGTACTCGACTACTGAGCCACATCCCCAATGCTAGTTTGTATTTTATTTAGAGACAAGGTCTCACTGAGTTACTTAGATCCTAACTTTTGCTTCTGACTTTGAATTCATGATCCTCCTGCCTTAGCTTCCCCAGTAACTGGGATTACAATTGTGTGCCACCACACCTGGCCATTTTATAGTATTCCATTGTATGAGTATATAACAATTAGTGACCCATTTTACTTTAGATGGAAAAGTTTTATCCAGCAATACTTATGTGAATTTTTCCTTCAGAGATATTCCATAAGTGTGCAAATACATATGAGAAAGAATAATATATTTTGAATTGTGACAACGTGAAAGCAACCCAAATTTCTAGTAACAGAAAATTCATCTTGATTATATGTGTATTGGGGGTGTAGTAGCAGGGAAAACACATTCCTTAAGTTGATATTAGTCAGATAAAATAAATCCAGCACTTTGAGAAGTTAAGTAAAAGATATCTAAAGTTCAACTTTTTCAAAAAGTCAATTTTTAAGTAAAGAGGTCATTTTGTTTATAAAGATATTAGAAAAAAATAAAGATAGCAGGACAAGAATAACCAGCACTTTCTATTGAGTATACTTCTAAAATATAGGTAATATTCATCTACCTGCTTTTGTATACATTACTCCTGCCCAACCCAACCCACCACGATCTCTAACCTGCCATAATATAAGCATGCTAATTTGTGTCACTGCTTCCCCTTTCTTCTTCATGATCCATTTTTCCTATAATAGCCATGGAATACTTTCTCAAATGTAACTTGGATCACGTTACTTATCTATAGCTCTTAAGGCATATAAGGCCCTGTATGAGTTGGTCCCAAGTATTTTAATAGGAATACTATTATCCCATCTCTGACCTCATGTGACCTCAGCCCCCTACTCTATATCTTGCTTACTATGCCCCAAACCCATACATATTCATTGCACTTGCTACTCCTTCTGTCCTAGATAATCAGAAGAAACAGCCTTTTCTATAATTTTTTTGTAAATATCTTTTTTAGTTGTAGGTGGACACAATACCTTTATTTATTTATGTGGTGCTGAGGATCGAACTCAGCGACTCATACATGCAAGGCAAGCACTCTACCACTGAGCTACAACCCCAGCCCTTCTATCATTTTTTATCTCAACTCAAAATATCACTTCTTCAGAGTCCCAATGACCCAAACTCAAGTGGTATCCCCTCATTCTCTAAGTGATCACTCAATACATTTTTACTTTCACAGTATGTAAATATTATCTGAAATTGTTTTTATGTACTTATTATCTATTTTCCCCCTTCTGGAATATAAACTCAAAAAAAAAAAAAAAGCAAAAATCCTTGTCTATCTTCACAAATGCCTAAAACTGTGCCTGATTTGGCACTTAATAAACACCTAAAACTGTGCCTGCTAAGCACTTAATAAATATTTAGTGTATGGATAAAAGAGTGTGTGAGTTACTAATGTGCAAAATCACATTCACTTTGATTTCTAAATTTCTTTTCTTTTTTTTTTTTTTGGTACCAGGGATTGAACCCAGTGGCACTTAACCATTTAGCCACATCCTCAGCCTTTTTTGGATTTTATTTAGAGACAAAGTTTCATTGAGTTGCTTAGGGCCTTGCTAAATTGCTGAGGCTGGCTTTGAACTCACGATCCTCCTGTCTCAGCCTCCCAAACCACTGGGATTACAGGTGGGCGCCACGCACCCAGTCTGATTTCTAAATTTCTAGGATCCACTGGTAATTCCCACATGGAGTCTAACATTATTGGCTATACTCTTTTTTGTTTTACTGTTGGAAGAAGAGGGAAGTTAGAGAAAGCAGAGAAGTTGATAGAGCCACAGGATTGCCTAAATGATGATCTTATTAAGGCTGACAAATATTCAGATCTAATACAGTAACTATCCTAGCCCAGTTTATCATCTGAACTAACACAGACTTATTCAATAAAATTTAGGCCAATTGCTAGTGAAGTCTGTGATTCAATATTTACAACTGCAAAAATATCAAGAGGGACAGTCATGTAACACAAGAGGATAATGGGGTGCTATTCTGGAAGTCAGATATAAATGAAATATATAAATGGAAGTCAGCAACTCAGCAAGGCCCTCTCTCTAAATAAAATTTAAAACTGAGGATGTGGCTCAATGGTAAAGCAGGTTCAATCCCTGGTACCTTTGGTGTGTGACACTGCACCCAGCTAGGGCTTTTTTTTTTTTTTTTTAAAGTTCCTGTATTTCCTAGCTTATGTTAGGTTTTACTTGTGCTTCTGCTTCTGAGAAAACAGATGTACAAAGCATCGGCATGGTTGCAGGAGCAGTGACAGGTATTGTGGCTGGAGCCCTGCTGATTTTCCTCTTGGTGTGGCTGTTAATCCGAAGGAAAGACAAAGAGAGATATGAGGAAGAAGAGAGACCAAATGAAATTCGGTAAGCCTCCCAAGTTCCACTTCCACCACCTTTTATTTCTAGGGCCAGTTCCTTAGTAACTAGTCAAAATAAATATTCCCAGTTTCTTCTGAATCATGACTTTGTTAAAATGATTATTCTGTTAAGGAAAGAAGTTGTGGTCTAGGACAGGTCTGGTTTACCTGGACTTTATTGTGAAACTATCCTCAACAGAGATATAAAAGTTCAACTTTCCATTACTTCTGATTCATTTCCATGTTCAAAGGGCATACAATAAAGGCTGGGCCTACAGGCCATGAAAGGGTTCACATACACAAACTCTATGTCAGGGTAAATGCTATAAAAATCATTTCATGTGGAGACATCCTCCCAGTGTAATAGGATGGATCTCTGGGCCAAAAACCAAACCTTTGCCGAGCACTAAGTCTTAAGAAATGAGGAAGTGCTTTGTTCCCTAAATGGCTGCCTTCTGATGGTATTGTTTGAGGTTTAAAACTTGAGGAACTTATTGGGAAACCTCAGGAAGACATAACCATGGTGGAAACAATGTCAATACTGAAGTTTATCTTTGCTGTTTTTTCTCTTCAGAGAAGATGCTGAAGCCCCCAAAGCCCGGCTTGTGAAACCTAGCTCCTCTTCCTCAGGTTCTCGGAGCTCACGCTCCGGTTCTTCTTCCACTCGCTCCACAGCAAATAGTGCCTCACGCAGCCAGCGGACACTGTCAACTGAAGCAGCACCCCAGCCTGGGCTGGCCACCCACGCATACAGCCTAGTGGGGCCAGAAGTGAGAGGCTCTGAACCAAAGAAAGTTCATCATGCCACCCTGACCAAAGCAGAAAACACACCCAGCATGATCCCCAGCCAGAGCAGAGCCTTCCAAACTGTCTGAATTACAGTGGACTTGACTCCCATGCTTTCCTAGGAGTCAGGATCTTAGGACTCTTCTAGTCATTGGAGTTCAGTCACCAGCCACACAACCCACTCAAATTAGATAAGAGGTCATTTAAGTACCAGTGAACATCACATGGAACAGATTCAGATGAGCACTTTACTTATACACTATCAAATGAGCAAAAGGATGTAAGCTGATCATCTCCAAAAAGGCACCTATTGACCTTTAGACCAGAGTTGGGGGGCAGAGGGAAATAGGAATACAAATCTGTCTATTGACCAGGACCTGTGGTGAGGAGGTTGGGGAAAAGTGAAGTGAATGCTCCTAAAACTACTCACCAGGGATGGTTTGTATCAATACTTCAATTTACTATTGTCAAGAAGAAATGAGGTGTTTTTCATAAATTTTTTATGCATTTCTGCAAACCTACTGGATTATTGTGATTATTCAGATAATCTAACAGAACCCACAGCCTTATATTAAACCGATCTGTACCATGTATGGGACTAACCATTCCCAAGAAACTCCAAAAAAAGGAAACATGTCTCTTCTGTTCAACTTACTTTCATATGTCATAAGTTTGGATATTAATTTCAGAAGGAGTTGAAATAGTGGTAGTGAGAGACGGAGAAGAGTGATTGTGTTTCTCCTACTCTTATCTATTGCTATTTTCTTCACACTGAACCCCAAACTAAGAACTAAAAAAGGAGTCCAAAATGTGTGACAAGGGCCTATGGAAAGCTTACCATATTGAGGTTCAGAGGATTGCTGACAAATATCAGAAATATATACTGGAGCAATTCTGAGTTTTTCCCTCAAATCAGATGCCTCTAAGGACTACCCTGCTGGATATCTCCAGAAGACGCAAATATTCATTACAGGTTATTTAACAATGTCCTTAGCAAGAAGTTCTCTAGAGAAAATGATTCAGAGATGTTGAATCTGACATACTATTATAGTTTCTTTGGAGAATATGTGAAACCAGAATTTCAAGACTGACTGGTCTACAAAGAGAGATTAGATCAGTTTTCTCTTAATATGCCAGGAAGTGATATAAAGAAGTTTAGTACTGCACCAAACTTAGAGCTTCCTCTATTTCTTTCATTTTAGAAGGATGTGAATCTGGGACTTTT